GCCTGGGCCTTTCCAGGCTGTCCTCTCTGCTGGATCCCCTGCGCTTCCCATGGACAGGCCGAGTGAGCTGTGGTCCCATCGGTGCCAAGCAATTGGCTTCACGAAGGAGGCCAATCTCTGGTCACAAGGGCTGGGACTTCCTCGAGGGCAGGGCCACGCCTCACCTTGCTCAGAGCCTGGGGCAGGGCGCCCATGAGGACTGGAGGCTCCACCCAGACGGCACTCCCCTCGGGTCCCCGCAGCCCACCTTGGTCAACTGAGTGGGGTGGGCGCCGGCACCAGCTGACCCCCTTCCCGGGCCCGGGCCCCAGTCCTTCCCGACGAGCTGCAGGGGACACTGCGGCTCCAGTCCGGACACCTGGTGAGCCCCTCCCTGGGGTCCTGGGCTGTCCCAGAGGGCTGCTGCTGGACTGTGCTGGGCCACCCCACAGCAGACTGAGGTCCAAATGTAGACTGGACTCACGACACGGACCGCCCGGGGCCTGGCGTCACCCCGGTCAGTGAACACAGGCCGTAGGGAGGCCTGCAGCCTTCCCCTGGCATGCGTAGGGGCCCTGCCTCCGGTGAACCACCTGCTTGCGGGATGTTGGCAGCTCCGTAGGTCTGCCCCTGCCAAGTCACCGGCCTGGCCCGGGGGGATGGCTTCGTTTCCCTGAGTCCCCCAGAGCTGGGGGTTCTGACCAGGGGCTCCTGCACTGGGCCCTCCAGGTGCTTGGGAAATGACCAGCAGCAATCACCCACGGCCCCCACTTGCAGGAAAGGCCTGGGTCTGTGCCCACACCCCGTGTGTAACGGGGTGCCACTGGATGGGACGGGGGCTGTCCCCTGCCTGAAGGGAACGGAGCCTGGAGCGGAGGCCAAGGGCCCGGGGAGGACGGGAGGGCATCGTGACCCTCCCAGGGAGCTGGAAGGGACATTAGGGGCCAGGTGCATGCCGGGGTGGGAGGGGGCCGCTGTCCTGTGCTCAGAACCTGGCTGGCCCAAAGCAGTGGTGGCTTTGAGCCGTGGCAGACGGGACCCTGGAGTCCTCCCAGCAGGCAGTGTGGGGGAGCTCCAGGGGAGCAAAGCACCCGGCAGAAGCTGTCTCTGGTCCACCGGAACCTCGGAACGGAACTTTACGTGGAAACGGGGTCTTTGCAGATGTTACGAATATGAGGTCAGACTGCAGCCCAGCGGCCCCCGAATCCAACGATGGGCGTCCTTGTAAGAGGGGAGGAAATGGGACGTGGCCCTGTGTGGATGGCGGCAGAGGCTGCCGGGACTCAGTCACCGCCAAGGAGCGCCGCAGCAGACGGTGGGGGAGAAGCGTGGCACGGGTTCCCACCCGCAGTTTGGGTGACTGACTACGGGGGGGCCCCCGGACTCTCGGGCAGCACCACGCACAGTCCCCCTGGGGCCTTGCTGATGGTGTAACCCGAGGGGGGGGAGCACGCTCCACGGTGGGGGTGCGGTGGGGTGGGCGCCAAGCCCCCCAGAAAAAAGCTTGGCACCAGGGAAAGAGTGGTCATCTCAGCTTGGACCCTGGGGGTGAAGCCCTGTGTCGGGGGTGGGGCAGGGACACGCCTGCAGCTGTGGGACATGGGAGCCGGGGGAGGGGGCCGGGATGTGGGGCCCCCGGGGGTCCTGCTGGGGGAGGGATGAGACTGCTCACAGGGCCAGCGAGGCCTGGCGGTTAGAGGGGGCTGAGTGGGGGTTCCAGGGCCGCCCCCCCCCCCCCGCATGAGGCCACCACGGGGGCTGGTGGTCCCGCAGCTTCCTCTGCCGGCCTGCAGCGCCGTTTACCCAGAGAACTGCCCGGGCAGGATGTGCGCTGGAGAAGGGCTACTCCAGAAGTCAAAATAGCATGAAATTTAATTTTCCGCCTATTTGACAAAGCTTGGTCCGGGTCCCAGTCGGTGGCGGAGATAAGGGCCCTCAGCCCCGGGTGTGAGCCAGCTGGGCCTGCGGCAAACACTCCACGGTCCCCGGGCAGGTTGAGGCTCCCCCCGCGGGGCCCTGGTTGCCGGGCGCTAAAGCAAACGGGCTCTATTTGCCCAGTCTGCGATGACAATGCAGTCGCCAAATATTTGCCAGCCCGGCCGGCCTCGGAGCGCAGCTATAAATGCTGGAGCCCAGGTGGAGGCGGGCCCGCCCCGCGGGAGCTGCAGGCCTCCAGGTAGGAGCCCCACCGGGTGGCGTGGCGGGCGGGATGCGGCCTCCCCCCCCTCCCCGGGAAGGCTGCGGGCCCTTCCCGCCAAGTGGGCTGTGGGGACCACCCACCAGGGGCCACGGAGGTCGGTTGGGGGGTGGGAGGGCGGCGCTGAGGCACAGGGGTGCGGCTGAAGGAGGAGGAGCCCAAGGAGCCCAAGCTGGGGCCACGGGACCCCTGGCAGGGAGGAGCCACAGCACAGCATGGCCCCTGCCCTCCCCAGGCCCGCCTGGCCCTGAGTGACACCCAGCCTCCCTGGGGTGAGGGTTCTGACCACCTGGGGACCCCCTTCTCCCTCTCCCCACGTCACCCTCCCTTTCTGTGCTTTGCCAGGAGGCAAAAGGGCTCACCACCTGCCTGCCCGCTGCGAGGGCACCACCCCCCGGGGGGTGACCGCTCCGAAGCTCAGAGTCAACCCCCTTTGGCATCAGGCCAGGGAGGGCCAGCACCTGCCCCCCCCC